TCTAGGTAGGGGTACCTGCTGATTTGAGAAGGGGCGGAGCCTGTCAATTGGTCTGTCAGTTCTGTGTTTTTTATTTGTGCGCTTGGGAGAAGTCTTTCCTCCAGGAGAAGAGCTACATGGTGAGCCCCCTGGAGACACGAAGATTTCCCCTCTCTCTGGGAGTCTCTGGACAGGGAGGGTTGGGTGGGAACCTGGGGGAGGGGAGGGGCGGTGAGTTGGAAGGGGGTTTTGTCTCTTCCTTCAGTCTGGTTTCCTTCCCTACGCTACCCCCAGGAATGTCCCAGCGGAATTGTCAATGAGGAGAACTTCAAGCAGATTTATTCCCAGTTCTTTCCTCAAGGAGGTGAGGGGACAAGTCCTGAGAAGAAGCAGCTGTCCATCTCTAGGCTGAGTTGGGGAGAGGGCTGGAAATGCCAAGTGAATGGGGTTCGAGGAGCCCCACAGATGTATGGAGGTAGGAAGTCCTCTCCTGTCTGGAAGCCAAGCTTACTCATCCACACTTATCCTGCAGACTCCAGCACATATGCCACTTTTCTCTTCAATGCCTTTGACACCAACCATGATGGCTCAGTCAGTTTTGAGGTGAGCTGGAGACTGTGGGCCAGGGAAGCACGTTTCCTGGGGCTTCAGGGCCAGGCCAGACCCAGAGAGAGGGTTGGGTGAAAGGTATCAGAAGACCCATTTTCCCCTGCCTCCTTCCTAGGACTTTGTGGCTGGTTTGTCAGTGATTCTTCGGGGAACCACAGATGACAGGCTGAACTGGGCTTTCAACCTGTATGACCTCAACAAGGATGGCTGCATCACCAAGGAGGTACAAGGCAGCTGAAGAGCTGGAGGGGTTGTATGTGTGTGGGGAGGTGTAAAGGGCCCATAGGAGGGAAATGTGACCCACATATACATCACCAGCAAGGGGTGGGGTCTGCCCTAGGTTCTAGGCCTTCTAGTTTGGAGGCTGGAGGCTCTGAGGAGGGATCCTCTTCTCTCTCGGCCTAACAGGAAATGCTTGATATCATGAAGTCCATCTATGACATGATGGGCAAGTATACATATCCTGCACTCCGGGAGGAGGCCCCAAGGGAACACGTGGAGAGCTTCTTCCAGGTGCCTGGGACTGGGCAGGCTGGGTTTTAGAGTGAAGGGAAGGAGGTGAGGTCCCAGAAGGGAACTTACACGAGTTCTGCCTGCCTCTCTCCTGTCATCCCTTCTGTTTTCCCTACCTGACTACCTTTTTGCAGAAGATGGACAGGAACAAAGATGGCGTGGTGACTATTGAGGAATTCATTGAATCTTGTCAAAAGGTACAGGGCCCTGCCCTCTACATTTCCCTGGTCTGGACTCAGGGCCTGATTCAATGACGTAAGAGAAGGCTCCTTTGGGCAGAGTACTATTTCCCTAACTCATCGCCACCTCTGAATCTTTTTGCTTCATAACTTGGGGAGGCCTGTCCCTTCCCCACCTCTCTGGGTGTCTCCTTCCTCACTGCCTCTCTCTGTCTCTGAATGTCCCCATTTCTGAGTCAGTGTCCTTCTCCCTGTCTCTGATAAGCTCTTTTTCTTTCTCTCCAATCTGCCTCTCTCCCACCGTGGCTACAGGACGAGAACATCATGAGATCCATGCAGCTCTTTGACAATGTCATCTAGCTCCCCAGGAGAGGGGGTCAGTTGTCCTGGGGGGACCATGCTGTAGCCCTAGTCCAGGTGGACCTCACCCTTCTCTTCCCAGGTCTGTCCTCATCCTAGCTCTACCCTGGGGGCTATAGGAATCCAAGAGCCTGGGGATTCAGTGGTCCAGATTGCTGGAGCTGAGGGGGCTATAGAGTGGGCAGAGTGTATCTGTGGGGTGTTCCCAACTCCCAACAGCTCCCCCTTCCTGCCTGAAACTCAGTGCTGAGGGTGCCACTGCTATAGGAATTGAGTGGTCCTCCCCCTTCCACCCCCACTTGAGAAACCACAATGCTAGACAAAATGTCTCCTGCTATGGTGCTTCCCCCATCCCTGATCTCATAACCATTTCCCCTAAGACCCCCTTATCAGAAAGGCTGTTCTGTCCTTGGCACTGACTGGCCTTTCAGACCAGGGCCTTTGAGAGCCCTGTAGGAGGTGGACAAGAATGTAGAGGGAGTAATCTTGGGCCTGAGCCAGTGCTTAGGTCCTAGGAGGTAGCTGGGTTAGAGAACAGAAGGGCCTGGGGATTATCAGTGAGAGCATGCCAGGCTATAGCTTTGAGCTCTACAGGTCTGCCATTCAAAGCTGTCAGAATATGAATTTCCAGGCTCTTCAGAAGACCTTGTTTCCTTGGAAATACCCCAGAAAATTTCCAAGTATCCCAGGAGAGTCTGGGATCCTGGTGTTTGGCTCATCCCTGGAATTCCCTCCTCTCTTCCCTTCCTGTTTGTGTAGTGGTGGTGGCAGCAGGGAGAAGATAGGTGGGGGCTGTCTTGGCTGATACCCGCCGAAGTTTCAGCCTACCCTCTCTGATGGCTACAACTTAAGTTTTCATTTGCCATTTCCTCTAGACTTGGAGGCACAGAGTAAGTCAGGGACCACACAGTGGATGCCTTAGAAGAAAAAGGAAGGAAGGAGGCAGGCATAGATTTGAACCCAGTGCGGGGGCATTTATTAGACTCTGTGATATACCCAGGCTCTATTCCTGCCCCCCGACATAGCCTCCTAATTGCCCACCCAGAGTCTCCTCTTGCTCTATTCAATCTACCCAGAGATGCCCCTGAGCACACCTTGAAGGCAGGAACCACAGGACCCAGGTCCCACCTCACTGTCAGCACCCCTGCCGTGCCGCCACCCCTTAATATATCTGCTTGTCCCATTTAGCTCACTCTCCCAGTCAGCTGTGATCTGAGGGGGAGGGTCCCCAGGGAGCCCCCTTTCCTATCAGAACACTGTTGACTGCTTTGCATTTTTGGTTCCTCTGTAATTTTTGTAAAATAAGAAGTACACCAGATCCAATAAAACACAATGGCTATGCACAGGCTCTGTCTGCCTTTTTGTCTCCCCTACCCTGCACATAACTCACAACCCATAATTCATACAGCCTTTTGGATTCCAGAGAAAATGCTTCCTTTCCTATAGTATGGCCAACCCTTGGCAGGAGATCAAGACACAGGTTCTGGAAGGGTTGGAAACCTACTGGACCTCAGAGAGGCCCCCGAATCTCCCTCCCACATCCTTAGAGGAGACAAGGAAGAGAAAGGTGATTGATGTCCTGAAGACTATGCCAAGCAAGCTGTCTTTTGGCTAAACATTCTTACAAGTCAAATCCAGAATTTCTAATTTACAGACATCTTATTTAATTTCAAAGTTCTTTCTTTTGAGAGGGGAATTCCCTTTAGTTTCTAATGAAAGTTCCTTTGTATAAACATCCCAACCTTGCCTCTAGTATGGAGGTACATTTGTGTCTATACTGCAGCCAAGAATGATGGGGGAGCAGATGAAGTGGACCCAGGGCAGGTCACCGTGGAGCAGGTGACACAAAGGGTAATAGAAGCTTCCTGTGCGGGGTGGGAACCTTTCTTTGTTCTGCTCCTGGAGAGGGGCCGCCAATGGTAAGTTCCTCTCATCCTTTCTCTAGGGCACCATTATGTGGTGATTAAGCTTCACTAACCATACAAGGGGGATCAGGCCTTCTCTCCCAACACTGTACATGTTGACAAGGTCAAGGGAAGGGTATGGGTGTCCAAGAAACAAAAACTTACTTCCAGAGTCCATCATTTTGTCATCTGGTTTCACTGCTCACATCATCACACAACTGTCTGCTCCTTAGGTCCTTGGGTTTCTTTGGGTCACAACCCCTCTGAAGGATCTAATTAAAGTTGTGGGCCCACTGTCTAGAAGAAAAAAAACCCAACACACTTTTCCATATATTTTTGTGTCCCTGAAGCCCATCCATGGGCCCTAAGTTAAGAACCTGTGATCTAGTCTACCTCTCAGCCTTCCATCGTACAGAAGAAGAAAAAGGCCCAAAGAGCGGAGAGGACTTGCTCAAGGTCACCTGGTGAGTTTATACGAGGATTGATACTTGATTGATACTACTAGACCCAATCCCCCAAGTCTCTGTTCAGGGTGACCTTGGGGCACAGTAAAAATTTGTGTGTGAAAGATGGATGCTGTGCATATCATGCATAATCCAGACAAGGTGACACTGTGACAGGCTCTCATGTTGCCCTATACTTTTCCCTCATGGCACTTCTCAGTTTGTAACTGTACATTTAAGTATATTTATTTCAGTGATCGTCTTTTTCGATACATTGTAAGCTCCTGAGGGCTCCTTGAGTGCCCACACTAGGTTTTTTCCCCCCTCCCCATCCTATCCTGGGGCCTGGCACATAATAGGCATTCCATAATTGTATGAATAACTGTAAGATTTGGATAAATGGACATGGTGAGTGTATGTATATAACTGGGTTAGGTATGGAGACAGTCTCTATATTTTAGGGTAGATCCAAGCTTAAGGGAAATTGAAGTCTGAAGCTGAGAATTTCTAGGAAATGAGAAGTACCCCAGAATTTCTAGGAAATCAGAAAAAAACAGGAGGTTGGCATTCTGATCATTTTTTTTCTGGCCACTGGTTGGATTCTGAATGTTGTTAGCTGCCCCATCTCAAAACACTCTTCTTTATTGCCTTCCAGTATTTCATACTCTCCTGGTTTTCCTTTTACCTTTCTGGCCATCCCTTCTCATCCCTCCCTTGATGACTCATCCTTCTCAACTGGAATATTAAACATTGGGCCCCACAGCTGAGACCTGAGCCTCTTTTCCATATCACATCCAATCCCATGGCTTTAAACACTATCTGTATGCAGGTGACTCCTAAGTTTTTATCCCCAGAATTCTCCTCTGAGCTCCAAGACCCATATAACCAATTGCCTGTTTGACATATCCATGTGGATCTGTAATGGTCATACTTAACATGTTCAAAATGGAGCTTTGATTCATACCTTCCCAGTCCTCGCCATCTCAATAAACCAACTACCTAGTTGCTCAGGTCAAAATGTAAGAGTCTTCCTTTCTTTCTCTCACTCACTCTCCCTCTACTCCCCTTTAATTCATCACCAATCCTGGGGAATTCCCTGGGTGGGGGTCCAGTGGTTAGGACTCGGTGCTTTTACTGCCCAGGGCCAGGTTCAATCCCTGGATCCCTGGTTGGGGAACTAAGATCCTGCAAACCGTGTGGTGGGGCTGGAAAAAAAAAATCACTAATTCCGCCATCAAAGGTGCACCATCTCTCTCCTTTGCTGTTCCGAGTCTAAGCCACTATCATTGCTTAACTAGATTATTACTTATTCTTCCATCTGAAGAAGACCCTTCCTTGCTGTGGTTACTCTTCATCATATCACTAGATTTCCTCCCTTCATAGCACTTATCACAAACTGAGTTCCTGTGTGTGTACTGAATTTGTTACTGTTTCCACAAGCAGAATGTAAGCTCTGTGAGAGCAGGACCCTATCTTGTTCATTCCTCAAATGTTTATCGTAGGCCTACTAGGCTCTGATTCCTGTTGTACGTGCTGGGCAGGTAGAGGTGTGGTACAGAGAGAAAGTGTGTGGCAAGAATTGCCCTTCAAGTTTGAGAAGTACAGATACGGAAGGTGCATCTTGCCTGGGTCATAGACCCCAGAGTGTTGGCTATGGAGAGTAGATGAAATTGTGGCTGATGACTTGCTAGAAGTTGCCGCAGTGTAAAGTGTGAAGCAGAGAGGAGAGTGTCATGAGACTGAGGGCTGGGGTCAGCTGGAATGACAGGTCCCAAATCCCCCAAAGGACCACAATATCCAGTGAAGCTGCTATAGCCCCCAACTGTCATCACAGGAGGTCCCCTAAGAAAATACTTGCTCCTAACCCCCATCTTAACACTCCATGACTAAAAAGAAGAGGGACTATAAGAGTCCATGGAGCTACAAGTTGGACTACCGCTGGAGGAGTCTAATATGAGATTCAAGTGTAAGATGGACAATGCTAAGTCTTAATAATCAGAATGAGACTGAGACGCTTATTTCACATTTATACCTCACATGTAGCCACAGATCTCTCAGCCAACAAGTGCGTTATGACAGAACCAAAGGGAGCCCTGAGAACATATAGCAAGGGGACCCAAGCCTATCTAGGGCTCAGGGAAGGCTTCCACAAGGAAATGATGTTTATGCTGAAGCCCAAGGGGTCCCACTTCTCCTTTACACACACTTCATACTCCCCATTCCCAAACAGGCCAGGCCTTTTCGCCCCTTCCTACATTTGTACTCTACTTGCCTAGAGTGCTCTCTTCTCTTCCCCCCTACTCAACCTGGCTAACTCCTATTTAACCTTTATGACCCAGCTCGAAAGTGAAGCCATGGCTGCTGCCTCGCCCCAAAGGAAGATGAAGTCGGTCCCTCCTCTGAACTCCCACAACACTTGGGTACACCGTGTGGGTATTATGTGTGTACTCGCTAGTCTGCACCACCATGCTGTGAGCTCATAGTGGCCCAAGAGGCCAGTATGGGGCAAGCTCAATAGGTGTCAGCTGAATTACGGAATTTAGGAATGATTTAATTTTTAAAAGGGGTTAGCGCCAAGCTGGAGGTAGGGGAAAATGTTTCAAGGCAGAGGAGTGAGCTGAGCTTCTTGGAGTGTTGTGTTCATAGAACCGAG